GAGCCAAGGGCTAACCCACCACAGCAGACTAATGAGGAGAGGAATGATAAATCCAAGAAGTCATGAGTCAGCCCCACCATCTGGAACAGTGCATGCTCAGGTTCAGTGCTGGAATATAAAACCTCCCGTAATGCTGCAGGAGGGAGCAGTGCTGATTCTCTTCTCTCTCCATTTTGTCTTGGGGGTTAAAGAGGACTTGCTGAGATGCAATCAAAAGTAGGTTATTTTATAGTATTGTAGCTTGCAGGAGAAGCACTAAAATATGCATAATTTATTTCAATATTCCACCCACCCACCCCTCAAAGAAGAGTAACAATTAAGTTAATCATATGATTTTGGAGTACTGGCTCCTGATTTTTGGAAGCTGTAGCTGACAAAACCAGGCATGTGGTGTTCCAGAACCTCAGTGACTTCAGAGACTTCAGTGAACAGGAAGCCTCTTTGCCTTTTTACAGAACAAACTTTCTGATTCTCAAATACATTGACAGGCAGGGAAAATTCTCTTCTCACCACACTGTCCTGATGCCTGCTTCTCACAAAGGGAGCTGCACAGTTGCCACCATGGTCCTGCATGGCTGGACCACGCAGCCACCACAGGGCTCGGAGTTGTTCAGTGCAGCTTCCAGCAGCCTCGTTCTCCTCCAGTGCTCTCCAGTGGTATCCCCCCAACACACCCATTCCCCCCTTCCAAAATTGTACCGGGTCACGTAAGCTTTTAATGAAAACAGGAAAATGTTGATAAGCAGCATCTTGATCTTTTCATTGCAACTTTTACAGTATCGAGATAAGGGAACTATTTTGAGCATAAAAATAAAAAACCTGGTTAGATCAGTAAAATCTTATTCCTCGCTTGTGAAAATGTGAGTGAATCAATTACTTCTAACTACAAAGGGTTGCTATGGGCATATTAGGATATTTGGACCTTGGCCTCTGAAGAATTTAGAAATTATCAGACCTGTAGTTTAAAGCAAAGAATCTTCCACTGTTGTTAAGTCAGCCCTTGCAATGCATATCTGAGGTTGTTCCTGCCTGAGACAAACAGGGAAGGCCAAGAGAAGAGGTTGTCCTTCATTCAGCTTGCTTTCAGAGACAACCTCAAACAGCCTCAAGTTGCGCCAGGGGAGGTTTAGGCTGGATATTAGAAAAAATTTCTTCACTGAAAGAGTGATCAGGCATTGGAACAGGCTGCCCAGGGCAGTGGTGGAGTCACCATCCCTGGAGGGGTTCAAGAAACGTGTAGATGTGGTGCTCAGGGACATGGGTTAGTGGGTTGGGTGGTGTTGGGTTGACGGTTGGACTTGATGATCCTTGAGGTCTTTTCCAACCTTAATGATTCTATGAATTGCATTAAATAATCTAAAGTCTGACCTACCAAAGCTATGAATCTGAGTAATCCTCACCTGGCTCTGTATCATATTTTCATAAATAGGCTGTCACTGTCAGGAAAACCATAAATCTATGATCAGGCTGCTTTGGGGAAAGGAGCCAGTGATACCCAGTCCCATCTTCTGTGTCTCTGTTTCTGCCTGAAGCCACTCTCTGTACACCACAGTAACAGGTGCCTGTGATAAAATTTGTCTCAGCTGCTGTTTTTGTCCGTGCAGAGCAGTCTCCACTCGCAGGAAGGCCTGGGCGTTGCTTCCCTGAGTGTTCTCTATGCTGCGCTCATCTTATCATCCATGTTCCTGCCTCCAATCCTCATCAAGAAGCTGGGCTGCAAGTGGACTATGGCAGGCTCTATGTGCTGCTACATCGTGTTCTCCATAGGGAACTTCTACGCTAGCTGGTACAATTTAAATACTTCAACCCTGTCTATTGTGTTTGAACAAAATCAGCAAGGGAGAAGTTCTTTCTTCTTTTTCTTCTCAATTCTTCTCTGTGTTGCAGATTTGAAAGTTGGATGCAAAAGGTGCTACCTGCAAGAAACAGGGATAAATAAATCCATTAGCAGGTGAAGCAGAGAGGTGAAAATGTGCAAAAAGACAGAATGAAAGCATCCATCCACCCACCTGAAGCTGCTTCTCTAACTCACATGTGTAGCAGATATCTCCCTTCAGAAAAAAAAAAAAATAAAAAATAAAAATCAGAAGTTTCATTTAAAACCCAAATGACTTTTAGGACTGCTTTTAAAAAGGCTGAAGGGAAGGCTGTCTTCCAGCCAGTGGCTCTGGGAGCAGAAGACCAGAGGAGGAGGCCAGCTCCTGCCTTGCCCTTTTGGATGTGGATGAACGTCTTACCCCCATGACAGGGGGGACAGCTCTGTGGAGGACAGCTGTTGTGATCCATCTTCGAAAGCTCAGGTGCAATTTAATTCTCAGTTATGAGAGGACAGGGCACATGAGCACAGACCAAGCCAGCCTAGTGTAGACGTAGCCCCTGGACACAGGTGGGAGTGCTTTCCCAGTCTAAGCTGGACAAGACTGGCCCTTTCTTGGTTTCATGTAGTGCATTTATTGAATCACACAAAGGATAAATCTATTTCTTTGATGTCTGTTTTTGCCTCTGGATATTTGGACAAATGATTATTATGCTGATGGCTGATAACTATGCTAAACAATGTGTTCTTCGGCAGGTACACGCTAATCCCTACCTCTGTGATCCTGGGCTTAGGAGGAGCACCGCTCTGGTCTGCCAAGTGCACTTACCTCACCATTGCTGGCAATTCGTACGCTGAGAAAGCAGGAAAAAAAGGGAAGGACGTTATCAACCAATACTTTGGGGTCTTCTTTCTGATATTTCAGTCCTCTGGCATCTGGGGAAATCTTATGTCATCTTTGATATTTAGCCAAGCTTCCAACAAAGGTAAAATATATTTTAAAATCTTGGCACTTCTTTCTTTAAACATCAGGTAGTTCTAGATAGTTAAAAGATAGACTCTGTAGGTGAGCTAGTGACCCTCAATTGCCTTGATAGTTGGTGCAAATGGGCACTTCGGATGTGACTTAGCTCATCTGAAGGTAGATGTCTGAAATAGATGGGGCCGAACTGCTCCGTTTTCTATCAAGTCTTCATCAGCTATAAAGAGTTCAGACAACTAGCTCAAAAATAGATGTCTATTGAATTCCTTTCAAATTCCACCCCTGTGTTGTAAAGCATAGTTAAGCTGCTGGCAGCGAGTCGTTCACATCTGACTTCTATTTAAAGTGGATTAAAACAAAGGGCAACACACTAAAGCAGCCTTTTTGCAAAGCTTGTAGTATTGAATTAATTTGCTTTTAAACATTCAAGGTTAGTCAAGCTGATGCCGGTGCTTGGTGAAAATGAGTGCTTTACAGAACTGTCAAGAAGAAATAGAAGTAGCTGTTGGCAGGAGTCGGCATGCCAGGGCTTCTCTGCTGTATTTCAGGCTCATACAGCAGATGCAGATGTAGCTTGAAGAAATCACTCGACAGTGCTGCCCTCATTTCCAATGCTTGTAATTGGTGTAAGCTTTAAAAGGACAGTTGTGAAGATAAATTAATACTTGGATGCTACCTTAGAGCTTCAAAGTGCCACAGTGTTGTATCATTGTGGTCTCCTGTGCATTCCCTGTCCTGTCAAAGTCAGAACAGGATGGACATGGAAAGACCTTTCCATATCCACTGCTACTGGTTCAGTCAAGCAGTATGTTCTCTGGTGGGTATCCAAATAGGTATTTGATTAAACACCAATGTCAGGGAGCTGGCATCAAGTTTTAATCTTCGTATCCATGGATTTATGGCACGTTAGTTGTCACAAAGTGTGATACTTATGGAGAATCATGATTCCTTGAAGTGCAGACAGCTATAGATGAAACACCATCAAAGCAGAATGTGAAAGGACTGTACCAAGTACAGCTGAGCCCTGCTGACCTGATCACTGATCACACGGTGGCCGTTCTGGTCTCATTTGCAGGGCAGAGGCTGTGGCACAGCTGTGAGGTCTGCACAGACTGCAACCATTTTATTCTCTGCTGCCTCACAGTGCACATCATGTTAAGTGATGTTGATGAGAGGATCAAAATATTCTTTTTCTGCCTTGTAAATCCTCTCTTAGTTTTACATCTGAGGATGTCCCTCTAAATTCTAGTGAAACTTTCACTTTTCCTTATTTTTTTATCCGTTACATTGGATTTCAGGAAATGCTGTGCTCCTGGGAGGGGTGCTGTGAACAGCTCTCAAAGCCAAAGGCATTGCATATCTTCACAACAGTGATGAGCAGTCATAATATAAGCTTCCCAACTGTGCCTTCTCAGTGAGACCCAGCTTTAATCTAGAGGGAGCTTCTTGCAGGGGGGTAAGGGTCTCCAGGCACTGGCTTCATTTCCTCTCCTCTGGCAATGTGGCAAAGATACCCATCCGTATTGTCCATATACTTAAAATGCATAATTTCACGGAGGAGTCACAAAGATACAGCATGTATCTGCAGAATCAAAATGCATCAAATTCAGACATGGACATACGTTTGACATATTGCTTGTGTCACTGCATCCGTACACAGCAGGGCAAGCTACACTATGAGGTGATACTGCAACAGAAGACAGTAATCAATGTAAATTGCAAGAGTCATCCATCCTCTCTCATCAATATTGCAGCCTTATTTCCAGAGGAACAGAGCAAATCCTGCTTTGCAGCTTCCAGATCACTAGTTGCATGTGCATCTTCATCCTCAGATGGTGCACGAACAAATAAAAAAACTCATTTTACATACTTTACTACTGTGACTCACCTTTTGCATATGGTTAGTCATCGAGTAATTTTAGTAAAAAATTATCAATTTTGCTAAGGGTCTGTTTGTTTAAACTGTGTAGCAGTAGCCACTGTCTGTAAGGTAATGATTTTCTTTACGTTACTAAGTTTTATCTGATGTTGAAGTTGTTTATGAAGCTGGTTAAACAGCTGATTCACATCGCAACAGCTTTGATTGGAAGCAATGGGGAAAAACACACTAAAAGTAGTTACATGATAACCCTACTTGAAAAATCACAGATCAAGTCCAGTTTAAGGGATCAGCCAAGGTACACTGTACTGCCCTTTATTATGCTTGGACCAGCAACAGATTCTGCAATGAAAGCATTGAAACAATTGTATGTTGTTTGGTCATCCTTCACTGCACAGCTTATTCAGGCTCACGCTTTGGGTTAGTAGTTTTTCTTTACAAAGAGTGTACTGGAGGAAGTGAGCACAGTGTCATGGTGACACAGGGTGTGTGAGTACACACACGTGTGTGGCTCTGACACATGCCCAGCACAACACTGATGGGATTGAACAAAGCAAACGTCTTACTCCAAACCCTGCCAAACTCTTCAAATTTCGAGTATGTTTTCAAAAAGTAATAAAACCAATAACAAAGCCAGGAAAAGCTGATTTCTTGGAAGACTGCATTAGTAGGTAACCGTAATTTGAATTTATAAAACAAAACAATGCTTCAAGGTGGTTTCTATTCCTATAACGTACACAGAAATTACCTGGAGAAGGATAAGGTGCTCTGGCTGTAAGACCTGAGGTCCAGCAGTTCAGTGGTGGTGTAAACTGAGGGACCTGTCTTGTGGGATATTATGATGAAGAGGTACAGATACACACTGAAACTTTAAAACTGCAAATTGAGCTTGGATTCAGATTCCAGGCTCTGGCTTTAGTCCATGTTTCCGTGTAACCATCAGTTCAGTACTCTCTCTTGAGAAACTGCTTCTGTTAGACCAAACGTGTGTGTGTTGAACTGGGATTCTGAAGTCAAACATCAGGAAGGATCTGAAACCAGGACCAATCACCGAGCGCTGGATTCCCTTCTCCTTATATCCTTACATATAGTGTGCACTCATGCAATCTCTTCCCTATCCTGCCTTTCTTTTGGTTCTTACTGAACTAGTGGAAACCTCAGAAGAAAACCTGGCATGCTGCGGAGCCTATGACTGCATGACTGATACTGCTAATGCCACTGGCTCAGCAGAACCCTCCCACTCCTTAATCTACACTCTGCTAGGGTTCTACACTGGTAAGTACTCCTCACAATCTTTAATGAATAGCACTGATGGAGAACCTACTACTTGTGAAACCTAGCGTGACTTTGCAGATTAAGTTTCCAATTTCCTCCTTGAATCCAATTTGCTAAAAGCAAGCAAGATATGTGAGAGCTGTAAACAACTCCTTCCTAAAGAGTTGCAAATGCTTTACACCAGTGATGTATAATTTTTATCTAAAGGAGGAGCAAGATATTTTTTACACTTTTTACGTGGAATAAAGCCGAAGCCCAGTAATGGTGACCCCACTGTTTCACCCAAAGTCAGCATTGCTGCACAGACTAGAACCAAAAGTATGCCCACATTGCAATTAGAGGATTGCAGCAGCTTATCCAGTTATGCATGAGATAGTTTTAAATTTACTGTCTTCAGGATCAGCAGTAGTGAACTAGTTACTGATGCCATTGGGAAGATTTATATGTGCATGCAGAGGTCCAAGATGCTAAGAGCAGCCCAGCAAGTAGTACTTGAACTCACCAACTTCTAGTCACCTGGGGATGCCTATCAGAACTGGCTGGTGTCCTACCAGGTGTAAAACAGCTTTAGCACAAGAACTGCACTGTAATTAGAGGCAGACCTGAACCACGCCTCCCAGAACATGCAATGATTTGGGGGAGGTTTTTGGATCCCTGCTGAGATTTTACAACTTCAGTCGATTCTCAGCCATGATGCTTGAATTATAATACCGTAGTGTGAAAGGTGAAGAAAAAGAGAAGCACCAGGTGAAGTGGCATGTCTCCCATTTAGTCACTACAGTTGCTATAGACCTTCCTTGCATAAGAAGAGAAAGGAATCAAAGACAGGGAATGCAGATGCCATCAAAAATCAGAAAGACAAAAATAGATATGCAAAGATTCATTCAGTGAGGAAACTTCAAAAAGTATCTGGCTCTTCTCTGCATAAAGGGAAGTATCTGGTAAGGCAATGCGTCCCTTAGCTCTGTTAAAATATCTTTGCAGCCTCTGCACACAGATGTACTCTCTATGCTGAGACAGATGCACGAAGTTTGTCATACGCTCCAACAGAGAGTCTGTGATCTGGTCAGAGCCAGCCTTCGCCAGACAAACACATCGCAGCAAACCCTCCCTCCTTCCCCAACCTCCATTCCTCATTGATGAAAAATGCAAAGAATATCCCCCCTCTTCCCTTGCAGAGTGTGCTGGAGCTGATGTCTTTCTGCTAACGGCAGGTTTGGCTCACAAGTTTAAATTTAAATTTGATGACTAAAATATACAGCACTCCCTTAGGCTTTGCTCATGCAAAATGAATGCAACCCTGCTGTCTACTGACCCTGCATCAGTTGGGTTTCATTTTTCTTTTAAGCTCTTAATAAAAGATATGTCTTTTCCTACCTCGAGGGAAACCAAATAGCTAAATATTTCATTCACTGACGTTTTTAAAATATCTCCTCTATTTGGTAGCTGAATACATATTTTGCCTGGCTTGGGTGGAGACAATAATGGATAGGTCTTTTGTTGTTTAGTTTTCTTGAGGACTGTGGATGTTTCTATTTATGTTCATACCAACCACTATTAAGCCATGCAGTTAGTTATCTCCTATAATTGCTCTTGATTCATTTGACATATTTGTTAGCATAGTTGTCCTGTAAATGTGGATGTCCTGCTCTCGCCCATGTAAGTCCTGCAATCAGCCCACAAGCGCCAATAAGCACCTTTGCAGAACTGACAATGGCTTACATCACGAAGGGTTCCCAGCTCAGCCACAGTGGACAACCAGGACACTGGAGAATACTATTTCATTATAGGAGACGTGGATGAGAAATAATAAGCAATAAAATATTTATGGCAATTTACTGTAAATCCGCTAATATATTTGGACCTTAAAAGTTCATAGAATGGAGCATGCCCATACACAGAAACACAGGAGCACATTAAACAGGCTGTGTGGATGGGAAGAGGTGCCTGGTTTTCCTCTTACCCTGAACTCCACTTGTTTCCATGGACGAATTTCTAGTTAGCATAAGTAAGAGAGGAAACATAATGCCTTGCATCTGTAAGAAATCAATCAGTTGTGAACCTGTGGCTGCTTCATTTATATAAGGAGCCACAGTTATCTTCCTGGTAGCATGGAAAAAATCATATTGATTCACTCCACAAGCAATAAACCCAGACCGATTTGCTGATTAACTACCCCATGTATTCTTTCATATTCTTTCATATGCTGCTTCTGCTAGGAAATTACAGGTTCAAAGCTGCAACTTCTGTCTTTTTCAAATCACCAAGGGTTGGTCACTACCTTTAAAATAGTACATATTTCATACTCAAAGCCTGGCTCCAAGCTGACCAAAAAAAAAAAAAAAAAAGGATCCAAGACAGCAGTACTACTTCTAGCCCTTTATTTTTCTTTCCATGTAATGGAAGGAAGATTCCCCCTCTAGCCATGCAAACCTTGGCACTGGAAGTGAATATTCCTCTCTCGTGTTGATTTAAAGTCTTCTGATAGCTCCCGAGGGAGCTGTTTCTGGCCAGCTCCCCATCCCCGCGACCCCTGGCTTGCCCTGGAAGGGTGGGCGATCACCCTCTGCGGCCGCGCAGCTGGCCCAGCAGCTGTCACAACAGGCGGTTGCAGGGGATTTGCGAGGCACGCAGCTGTACGCAGAAGATGTGAATGTAGATCAGGCCACCTTGTTTATACAGAAATGGCCTTTACACTGCGGCGGAATCAGAGACATCTGCCAAAACATCCCCCAGAGAGCTAAGCACTAAGTCAGAACAATAACAGCAGCAAGCGACTTCCCATCCTTCTTCCAGCATTCCTCATTTTTTTTCATGAACTTTTTGTTTTGTTTTTTTTTGCAGCTAGTGGTGTGCTAGCTGTGTTGCTGATTGTTGTATTTCTGGACCAGATCAAATCTGACCAAGCAGAGACTGAGAAAGAAATACTAGAGACACCATCCTTTTGGTCTACGTTCCTAGCAACTTTCCAGCATCTTAAAGATAAAAGACAGTGTCTTCTAATCCCTCTGACAATGTACAGTGGGTTTGAACAGGGATTTCTTTCTGGTGACTACACAAAGGTGTGGATGACAATGAAAATCTATTTCTTTCTGACTGTTTTTTGTGCCTTTTGGGTCATACTGTTGCATCTGATCTATATTTACTTGTTAAATGAAGATGTTTTCACTGGCGATTTGCGGTCTGCTAAATTACTGCTTACTTGTAGTTGAATGAACTCTGAGTGACATCTTCAAACAGGAGAGGCCAGCTTTAAATATGTCCCTTGGAACAGCCTTAAAAAGAGCTCAGTAGAGAGCTTAATTCACCAGTGGAGGCCACAGCAGAGAGTTACAGGTTCAAACTCTTCAGCTTGTTGTAAATAATAAACTGGGAGAAAAGCCAGAAGTCTGCAAAGCTTTTCCATCTTCCTTCCTTCTGGTTTCCCTAGAGTTTGTATAAGTGCAAGTCAGCACACTTACCACATATTTTATTTTGAGAAACTTTACAGTAAGAGGGCAAACTCTCAACGTGGCTGGCTGACAGCCCTCACCAGCCACTAGTGCAACAAGTCCAGACCCCAATAGACTGAAATTATCAAAACTACCTCTGCTCCTCCAGTTCCTCTACAAACCTAGACCCACAGCAGGTGTGTTCTCCAGACATTCATTGAGAAAGCCTCCAAAGAAAGGGGACAAACTTCCTGGGCTGCTTATTTGACACTTAAGCTTTCAAACCTTGCATACAAGCAGATGGAAGAATGCACTTGCTGCTGTGTTTGAATGGATTGGAAGGGGCACTCACTCCATGGCCATACCCATTGGCTGTACACTCTTATAGGTGAGGTCCCCTTCATTTCCTGGGAGCTGCTCTGCAATGACTGCAGTGGCAACTGCCACTGTTCATCTCTTGGGCTATGAAGGGAAGAGCAAAAATTCCTAATGCCGCTTCCAGGAGTTTTATTTGCATAATGAACAGTGCGCCGGTTTCTTTTCCTGCTTGTTGCTGCTCTGTTTGCATGGCATCAGCCTGATTGGGAACTGGGCTAGCAATATCGCTACTGAAGGCCAACTATGTCAATACGCCAGGGACTTGTCAGCAAACGCTGTCGCTGTGCTCCTTTGATCTCATCCATGCTGGCTGTTTACCAATACTCAGGCTAAGACCCTTGAACCTTAGCTGCATATTTTCACTGAAGAAAACATGTCACCCTTGTCTCTTCTCTTCCAGACGTACGTGACCTGTGCCCTGGGGATCCATTACATTGGTTACGTGATGATCTGCTTTTCAGCTGTAAATTCCCTCTGCTCTCTGCTCTTTGGAAAGATATCTCAGTTCACGGGTAGAAAACTTCTATTTGCATTAGGTATGTAAAGGTCACTTGAAGGACTGACCACCTTATGAAATATATCAAAGGGACAGCTCGCTGTCAGCTATCAATTAAAACCAAAGTCAACTGGTGATAAATGATCTTACAACATAGATATTGAGGCCTACAGTTACCTGAGAAGGATTTCTCCATTGGAGTGAAACCTCATCCCCTTTATGGAGCGAAAGCAACTGCAAACCTCCTGAGATAGATACATGGTTGATCTGAGTCTCAGGGGATGGTGAACTTGTATTTTAAGCAACCGGTCTAGGAATTTAAAGAAAATTTTTAAAGGTTGGCCTGGTGTCCTTTTCACTACTTGCTCTACAGAGAGAAAAATAAAAGAGTCATATGCCAATGTGTCAGGCTAGAATAACCTGAGGGCCTCTGTATGGGTCAGTAATATTCAAGTTGTCAGGAGAAGAGTTTGGTATATTTAAGAACATCTTCCTCTCCAGAGAACACTGTTCCAATGAGTAACAGAGTAATGGAGGCAGAAAAACACAAAAAAAATATTTCTTTTTTGTCCCTGTATCCACTAAGGTATTCCTATGGAAGCGTACTGATACCTCACTTCCACTACATAGTACATAAGTAATAATTATTAGAAGCTTCACTGGCTGAGTCAATGTCCATCTGGACATTCTAGGCATTTCCTCCACAGGAAATTTTACACTTGAGTAAGGAAAAAGAAATTTAGAGTCCTCAATGCTACAGTCACTAGTTCAGAGATTCTTCTGTACACATCTGTCCCAGGTGTATGACTCACTCTATGAAACTCATTTTGGATTTTAAAAATCCCAGATAATAATAATGAAAAGCCCCTACAGTGTTAGTAATGCAAGACCTCTGAAGCTCTCAGTTCCATTTAATGGTCTTTGTACTCAGCCTTTAGAGGTGTTCATCTAGGGGGAGGAATCAGTGACTCATTTTTAAAAAAGGAAATAAGGAAGACCCAGGAAACTACAGGCCGGTCAGTCTCATCTCTGTGCCTGGCAAGATCATAGAGAAAATCCTTCTGGATTCTATGCTAAGGCACATGGAAAACAAGCAGGTGATTGGTGACAACCAACACGGCTTTACCAAGGGAGAATCGTGCCTGACGAATTTGGTGACCTTCTGCGACAGGGCCACAGCGCTGGTGGATAGAGGAAGGGCAACTGACATCATCTACCTGGACTTGCGCAAAGCTTTTAACACTGTCCCACATGACATTCTTGTTTATAAGTTGGAGGGACATGGATTTGACGG